AAAAACTGAGGGCAATGTATATATGCATGAAATAAAAGCACACGTCTCAACCAAAGAAAAAACCAATCAATCTCTTAACTTTTTAAGTTACACAAGCTATATTCATCCGTTTACTAAGAAAAAAAAAGCTATACTCATCATAGTTCACAATTATAAATGCAGATCAAAGTAAAAACAAAATTGATTGTTTAAAGAATACTGGAATATGAAAGGTCCAATTGGTTAATGCACGAGACGAAAAAAAAATGATCGAATGTAGCAACCAAACAGAACCACAATGTGATAAGTTACGATAAAATGAACTCATTTTATATAAGTTGCTTTCTAGTACATCCTCCAAAACTCTGACATGTACAACAAGATTACATTGATCTTCTTCACCAATTCATATGATCCACAATCAAAAGATGTAGGTAGGTCTAATCTAAGGTTATATAAAGTTCGTTCATTATAATCTACTGAATTCTGAATAAACAAATACCAAATTAGTGAGGCAGGGTGTTTTGGTTCAAGATCATAAGAATTTTCAAGTTTCGAACCCGAGTTTATATTTTGAAACCTCGTTGTTTTAGGGATCAAAATCCAGCTTATTAGTATTAAACGTTGACCAAATGTTGCATGCTTCACATTGACTTTCGTTAGGGCATGTTGGATGAAATTTTTGTCTTGAATTTATACATATATATTTATATATTATATATTTTTTATGTTAGTGGGTTAACAAGGGAAACCTAATAATCTAGGGGTGTGCTATCCACACACCCCTTTTACTTCTCACACTTTTATAAATTTATGTTCGTTGATATTCTTCAATCCATCCGATCTGACGGCCGAAAACTAAAATGATGTGGGAGAAGTAAAAATAGGTGTGTGAATATCACATCCCATAATCTAATGGCTTTGGCCTTTGCCATTCATGAGATGCCAGGTAGCAAGCAACAATTGTATAATATGATTGAATCTTTTTTTAACCCCCATTTCATATTCTATGCTTTTAAATATAAAATAAGGGTTTGATATGAGTCGGGTTGGCCTTTTGGCCTTTGTGTGGAAGATGGTGCTGATTACTGCAGTAGCAAAAATGGAAGACTAACCTACGGAAAACTAAAGATAGAAGTCATATAGTATTACGATTTAGTAATATTTTTTTTCACTTACAAGTAAAAGGTTTTAGGTTCGATTTTCCTCACAAAGGTAAATTTGAATCACAATGTTGCTAGCTCATTGTACAGCTAAGCCCACTCCCTCTTCTTAGTGTAGATAATATCGTTTGTTTTTGTAAAAAAATAACAGAAGAATTAAAAATTGTCAGGTATGAAAATTCATTAGGGTATTTTGGTTGGACTATATTGATTGAACTGATTTAGATTAAGCTTCGTTCTAACTATTAAAATTTTAAATTTTAAAATCCCAATCATTATTTTTCTTTTGAAATAAATAAATTGTCTTCGAACAACGTGAACGTGATCCAAAGTTTAGCAAATTCAAATGTAGTTGCATTGGGACATTGTAGTTGTAGCCACATGTTCCATATCTACGTGTTCAGCCTGTAACCACACTTCCAAACATGCGAAAGAGAACTTTTGTCCTGTAAAAGTAGCTCTCTGAATCTTTTGCACTATGTTTGTAGGTACGCTGTCATTGTAGGCATCCGTGCAGGGACATCAGTCCGATCGTTTGGTTAGGTAGAGCCCCTAAAGAACGGACACCATGACTGAGCTATTCTTTGACGTGGGTGATTGTAAACCAGCTTCCCTTGATTATACTTACCATGTCCGAGCTGAAAAGTTCTATTAGAGCAATTTCATCGTTGCAAAGGCTCTTTAAGATTATTCAATATTTAATCCATCTAATGAATAGTAATTATCTTTAATGAACAGTAATTGCATTTTACATCTTCATCCATGCACTAATAATCTTGGCAATAGATAATAAAATATTAGTATTTTTTTTTATTTATAAAATAATACAAAATAATTTTATTTGTAATTTCGGATAAGATTTTTAATCATTCTCGTTGAGCCACATGTCATTATCTGAAAGGACAATTATTGGTGATGGATTTCGATAAGATTTTTATCCAATATTGTCGTACCAAGTGTCATTATCTTTTCAGAATCGTTGATGATAGATTTCCGATAAGATTTTTAATCAATCACGTCGCGCCACGTGTCATGATCTGTTTACAATCTTTGATGATAGATTTCGATCAGATTTTTAACGAATGACGACATGCCACATGGCATTATCTACAACCTAATCCTTTCTAAATCCTCCATATAATCCACCATCCATCCTCAGAAATCTCACACCAATTTTCTTAAGATCTCTGTCATTATTCATAGTTTTTGCTTCCTTCTTACAATGTCTTATTCTTGGTCATCTTGACATCCGGCAAAATCTGAATCATTATACCCTTCTAACACAAGCTTATCAGTTTTCCTGTAAATAAGCATATGTTCCTTGGTTCTTTGAAGGTACCTTAATACCCTCTTGGTTGCATTCCAGTGAGCCTCCCCTGCGTCTGATTGAAACCTCCCAAGAACACTGATAGTGAAAGCAAGATCAGGTCTTGTGCACACTTGTGCATACATCAAACTTCCAACAAGAGAGGCATATGGTTTGCCTTCCATGTTTCTTCTTTCCAACTCACTCTTGGGACACTGCTCTTTGCTTAATTTGTCACCCTTTGAAATTGGCATTTCAGTAGTGCCACAAGAAGCCATGTTGAACCTTTTTAAAACCTTGTCGATGTAGCCCTTTTGTGATAACCCCAGTAATCCATTCTTCCTATCTCTTTTAATTTCAATACCAAGAACATACGAAGCTTCTCCAAGATCTTTCATTTCAAAGTTTTGTTGCAGCAATTTCTTGGTTTCATCCAATAAGCTAGCTGTGTTTGTTGCAAGTAGTATGTCATCCACATAAAGGATCAATATTATGAAGCTACTCCCACTGATCCTCAAGTATATGCAGTTATCCGAAGGATTCTCAACAAAGCCATTCTCTTTAACAATTCTATGAAATTTGAGATACCATTGTCTCGATGCTTGTTTTAACCCATATATTGACTTTTTCAATCTACAAACTGAATTTTCATTCCCTTCTTCTATAAATCCCTCTAGTTGCTTCATGTAGATGCATTCTTCCAAGTCACCATTTAAGAATGCCGTCTTGACGTCCATTTGGTGCAAGATTAGATCAAAATGTGCAACGATAGCCATAATAACTCTAAATGCATCTTTTGTTGAAACAGGACTGAAGGTCTCCTTATAATCCATTCCCTCTCTCTGAGTAAACCCTTTTGCCACAAGTCTCGCTTTGTGCCTCTCTACGTTTCCCTTCGAATCTCTTTTGGTCTTGAATACCCATTTGCAGCTTATTGGCTTCATGTCTTCTGTTTTCTCTACAAGCTCCCAGACTTCGTTATTTTTCATCGATCCCAGTTCACTTTCCATTGCTTCTATCCATTTGGTAGCATTTATACTTGAGACTGCTTCTTTAAAACCTTTGGGATCATCAAATTCTGACAAATCAATGTCGTTGGCTGCTGCTTCAGTCATGTACACAAAATCTTCTAAGGCGATTGATTTCCTTACCCTAGTTGATTTCCTCAGGACCACCGGTTGATTTTCAACTATGCCATCGTCTTGCCCTTGCTGTGTTTGCATGTTTAGTGCTTCGGTGTCCATAGGCTCATTGACACCATTGATATTAACATCATTATCAATCGGTGGTGTGGCTCCCACATTATTTCCTTGCTCAGAATTCATGTTCCCTTCAACTTCATTTGTGTCATCATGCATGTGCATTGGAAATTCAATTACCTCCGTGTCATTATGCATGCGACTTGAAATTTCACTTGCCATTGTTGGTGTGTCATTATGCATGCGACTTGAAATTTCACTTGCCATTGTTGGTGCCTCGAGATAAGAAGTCTTTGCATGTTCTATAGTAGTGTCAGTGTCTCTTTCCTCTTCAAACACAAAATCATTATCATTTGTCCCAGAATCAACGTCCAGATTATGCTCCATAAATATTGCTTTCTGCGTCTCAACAATTTTAGGACCTTGTTTGCTAGAACAGTAGAATCTAAACCCTTTTGATCTCTCGGCATAACCAATAAAGTAACAACTAGTTGTCTTAGGATCAAGTTTAACACTACTAGGATTGTAAATTTTGGCTTCTGCTTTACATCCCCAGACGTGTAAATGATTCAAGCTCGGTCTCCTGCCAGTCCATAATTCAAATGGAGTGTTTTCAACTGCTTTTGAAGGCACTCTATTCAACAAATAATTTGCAGTTTTTACTGCATCTCCCCATAAATATTTAGGCAAGTGAACCCTACAAATCATGCTTCTTACCATATCCATTAGGGTTCTATTCCTTCTCTCTGCAACCCCATTTTGCTCGGGTGTACTTGGGGTGGTGTATTGAGCCACTATTCCATTGTCTTGTAAATACAAGGCAAATGGCCCTGGATGCCTGCCATTTTGTGTATATCTGCCATAGTATTCTCCACCCCTATCAGACCTTACGATTTTAATTTTCTTTTCCAATTGTTTTTCAACTTCAGTTTTATAAATTTTAAACACTTCCAAGGCTTTTGATTTTTCTGGGATCAAATATATGTAGTAGTATCTAGAATAATCGTCAATGAAAGTAATAAAATATTTATTTCCTTCGATTGTTTGTGTAGGGAATGGACCACATATGTCTGTATGGATTATTTCTAGGAGCTGCTTACTTCTAGTTGAACCCTCTTTACGTTTATTAACCATTTTCCCCTTAACACATTCAACGCAAAAATCAAAATCATTGAAATTCAATGGAGACAAGATGTTATTTTTAACCAAAAGTTCCATTCTTTGTTTTGATATGTGGCCAAGCCTCCTATGCCAAAGATTTGAAGAATTTTTCGAATTTTTGACTTCTTTTTCAACATTAAAGACACTTTCAATCAAATTGGTTTTGAATTTAAACATACCATCACATAGAAATCCAGTGCCAATATGAGAAGATTTATAAAAAACATTGAAGCCAATATTATTTAAAGTAAAATAAAATCCCAATAATACTAACTTAGAAACGGAAACTAATTTCCTTCTCATGGAAGGTACATAGACTACATTTTCTAGCTCCAAGCAAAAACCAAAATCTAATTTTAATCTAACAGTCCCTAGTGCCTTGACTTCAACTCTTCTTCCATTGCCAACTGAAACCTTGACTTCATCCTTATTTGGTGTTCTCTTTGTTATGAAGTCCTGCAATGAATTTGTAACGTGAATGGAAGAGCCGGAATCAAGCCACCAAGCACTGCTAGGTGTATCAATCAAATTCGATTCAAAACAAGCAAAAACATTTGAAAAATTATTTTTACTTTTCTTTGCCTCTTGTTTGGCAAGCCATGACTTGTACTTAGGACAATTTCTCTTCATATGGCCTGTCTTTTTGCAAAAATAACACTTAAAAATTGATGAGTTATTAACTTTGAAGGTCTTTTTAGAGGGAGGAATGTTTCTGGCAGAATTCCTTTTGGCAGTATCCGAGTTGTTGTTATTGGTATTCTTTGCATAACCTTGAACAAAATTCACTGACTCACCCTTTTCCTTTTCAGCCCTTTCCTTCTTAATCCTCACTTCCTCACCCACACATATAGATTAATTCATTGACATCCCACTTTGCTTGCAGTGCATTATAGGATACTTTCAACTGAGTATAAGAACTAGGCAAGGAATTCATGATGACATGGACCAAAAATGTTTCAGAAATAGGTACCTCGAGTATTCTAAGCTTCCCAGCAATGTCCATAACCTTGAGAATGTATTCACAGACACTCCCTTCACCATCGTATCTGATAGTTGTCAGCAAGTTCATCAAGTTCCCAGTTTTTGTTTTTTCAGATTCTTTGTACTTCTCTTCGATCGATTTCATGAACTCCTTTGCATTAGTTGCCTCTGGGAAGCCTCCACGAACTACATCAGTCATGGACCTTTTGATTATCATGAGGCATATTCTGTTTGATTTCTCCCATTTTTCATGCTTGGATCTTTGGCTCGAAGTGCATCCTTCATTTGGCGTTGGTGGTTCTTCAGTTCTTAGCGCCAAATCCATATCCATGACACCCAAAAGTATCTCCAAATCCTGTTTCCACTTCTTATAGTTGACACCCGTGAGAGGTTCAACTGTGTTGAGATTCATGGAACTTGGGTTCATGGCTGTATTCATATAGAATGAAAGAATTAATCTTTAATCCCCATCTTTATTTCACAGACTTAACAATTTTGTATTGAGAAGCATGCAAGTAATTCTCTTAATCATACCACCTTCATATCCAACGTATGAGTTTTCTGTAGTCATGAATAAAAACCTTTATGATTTGTAAACTGACTGGATTCACACGTTGATATATGAAGTGTTATGCCACTTCGAATCCAAGACATAAACAACTGAACTTCTTTAGATGATCAGTGTCAATGTTTCGAATCCTAGTGCCATTATTGATGTATATATATATTGGTATTGATAACACCTTCGTCAACACAGACAACCTTCTCTGTATAATATATATATCAGTTCTTTAATCTGCAACACAAAACAATTCTTGATGCTTTCTTCTTAGGGTTAATTGGTATGTGAAAGCTCTGATACCAAATGTTAGATTAATAAGAACAAAGTCAGCGGAATAGAATAATCACAGTACCAAAAGTAACCACTAACCTGAAGAAGACATCTCTTGGAAACTAGGGATCTTCTGCAGCTCTCCTCTTTGAATGCAATCGCTCAATGAATGGGATATGAGTTTTCTTTTGTTTGCGTGATTGAGTGAGCGCAGGGACCCTTGTTTTTATACCGTATACGATGATGATTGATAAGGACTCTTCCCATAAATCTTTGCCTCTCATTAGAACTTACAGAAAATTGAAGAGAAAAGATCTTTCTTTTCATAAATTCCCAGATCTTTATGGTAGGCGTAATGAAGGGTTGTCTACGTGGGTAATTGTAAACCAGCTGATATGCAATATGAGCTAATTTGCAAGCTCAAGCGGGTTAGTTAAGTTAACTATCGTAGTAGTGTGTTCGTTAAAGTGTCGAAAATAATTTTATTGAATAAAAGATAATTCAATACTATTTTTAACGAAACTATCAACTTTCTTAACAACGTGATTAAAGATGTAATTAACAAGGTAACACAAAAAGAAAAAAGTTACTAGTGTAATGTTAAAACGTACATGTATTTATTTAGTAATCGTTTACTTCACGCTCAAGAAATAGTACATTGTTTTTTTAAATCCACCAAAATATGACATTTGAACTATAATAATTAAAAATAAGTGAATGCGTGATGATCATATAAAACAATTTTTCCAACTCTAGATCCTTAAAATTCACAAGATATAAAAGTTTATTCAGCCCTTCTTCCTCCCTCCAAAAGAAATGAACAAAGATCCATTCCGGATTTCACTTTTCGAAACTCAAGGATCAGGTAATATGGATAACTCAAATTAAATATGACGGTTCCTACTAACTTATTCTCGCTGACCCAACCAAAGCTCCGATTTCTCTTCCACATAAACTAAATGCCGGAAATTTTTATCCATAAACTCCAGACCTGGAGTGGAGAGGATCCACATTCAAAGAAATGACAAAAATAAACGAGCCCATCTCAGTCACATTAGCATAAAAAAAAAGCAAATATTAAACATAAAATAAACACTTGAGGCCATTGCATATTCATAGTCAAAAGCAAAATAAAAGTATCCAACCTTCTCATCTCATCTTTAATATCCAACCTTCAAAAAATCTGCGTCTACCATTCATAAATTCCACCCCAAAACAAAAATAAAATAGATAAAATTAAATTGAAAATTAAATTGAAAATTCAACGTAACCCGCCAACAAATCAAACACGTTCCCAACCTCCTACGCACACACCCCAGCTACCCCTCCTCCTCTTATATATTTTATCCAACACCGGCAAACATCTGACTTCACTCACAGTCTAACACCATGTTTGTTCTCATATTCTTCACCGTTGTCTTGGCCTTTTTCTTATACCGGCTCTTCGCCCCCGGCGGGAGCCGCCACGCTCTGCCTCTTCCGCCAGGGCCGAAACCCTGGCCTGTCGTGGGAAACTTGCCCCACTTAGGCCCCGTTCCCCATCACTCTCTGGCGGCATTGGCCCGTCAGTATGGACCCCTTATGCACCTCCGCTTGGGGTTCGTTGACGTGGTTGTTGCGGCCTCTGCTTCGGTGGCGTCACAGTTCTTGAAGACCCATGACGCCAATTTCTCCAGCAGACCACCCAACTCGGGCGCCAAGCATCTCGCTTACAACTACCAGGATTTGGTGTTCGCGCCGTACGGTCCACGATGGCGGATGTTACGGAAGATCAGCTCCGTCCATTTGTTCTCCGGCAAGGCTCTCGATGATCTTAAACATGTTCGCCAGGTAAGCAATTCGGCCGTCGTCTTTTTACGTTGATTTTCTCTACACTTCATTAATGCAGGTTTTATTAATTATCTAGCAATCGAAAACTGATTTATTCTTAAATTAAATCACTATGTTGACCACACGTTTCTTAATTACATGTAGTTAGAAGCTTTTATTAAAAAATTAATCAATGATCATAGTCGTTAATTAACAATTAATTGTGGTCTTAATTATGAAGCTGTTACTCCATGTAAGAAAATTAGTGCATTTTATGCTCAATACTATATTTATCATTGTTGGATAAGTTTCAATTTTAAGATTTGTATCCATTCACTGATCTCAAATGATGGCAATAAATTAGGTGGTGAAACATCATTATCGCTTGAGAGTGATGAACAAAAATATTTCCATAAGAAAATAGTGAATGAAAGTGCGATTAATGGTAGACTGGTACAGGTGATGAATTACCGAGGTATAATTTTTCTTTTCAAATCACTGAGTTTTGAAATCAAAGCCCTAGTAATATTGTCTCTAGACCCTGCTTACTAATTTAGTTTGGAGTAGTGATATATATAATCTCTAAACCTTAGTAATATTGTTTGCAACAAGATAAAAATTAAAATAGACTCCTAAATTTTAGGATTAACTATATTTTACGTCACAAGGTTTGGAGATCGTTTGCACAATAAGCCACAAAATTTTAATTTTTTACATGTTACACCACGTCATTTTTTAATTACACTAATTTAAATTTTCCGTCAATTTGATGTTCGAGATACTATAATTGCATAAATCACTCATGGTACTATTAACTTACAATATCTTTTTGTTTTTAAAGTTTTCAAATCATTTTCATTAGTTTATTTATTTTTTTAATAATATTATAGGAGGAAGTAGGTGTGCTGGCACATGGATTAGCAAGTGCAGGGTCAAAGCCAGTGAACTTAGGGCAGCTACTGAACGTGTGCACAGTCAACGCCCTAGGGCGGGTGATGGTAGGGCGGAGGCTCTTCGGAGACGGCAGCGGGGGCGAAGACCAGAAGGCCGACGAGTTCAAATCCATGGTGGTGGAGATGATGGTGTTGGCTGGCGTTTTCAACATTGGCGACTTCATCCCGGCCCTCGAGTGGCTGGACTTGCAGGGGGTGGCGGGAAAGATGAAGAAGCTGCACAAGAGATTCGATGCCTTCTTGACCGCCATTGTTGAAGACCACAAGAGGAGCGGCGAAGGGAAGCACGTGGACATGCTGACGACGTTGCTGTCTCTCAAGGATGATGCTGACGATGAGGGCGCCAAGCTCACGGACACTGAGATTAAGGCTTTGCTTTTGGTACGTCTCTCTCTCTCTCTCTCTCTCTCTCCCTTCATCATTTTGTTTGAACCGTTGCATATGATAACAAAAGGATTTATAGTATAGTTTGATTTAATGTTGTTCATATGAAGTGTAAAACTAATGAACACTTTCTTGTTGGCCAATGGTGTCCACGTCATCTTAAGTCAAATTACTACAAAAAGCTATTAGACTGACCCACCCATAATAATTTTGATGCACACAGAACATGTTCACAGCTGGCACTGACACGTCATCAAGCACAGTGGAATGGACCATAGCAGAACTCCTTCGCCACCCCAAGATTCTAGCCCAACTCCAACAAGAACTGGACCAAGTAGTGGGCCGGGACCGACTCGTAACCGAGTCGGACCTGCCCAACTTGACTTACCTCCAAGCAGTAATCAAGGAAACCTTTCGGCTACACCCGTCAACCCCACTCTCCCTACCTCGCATGGCGTCAGAGAGTTGCGAAATCAATGGGTTCCACATCCCCAAGGGTGCCACTCTTTTGGTCAATGTATGGGCCATATCTCGCGACCCGGCCCAATGGTCTGAACCACTCGAGTTTAGACCCGAACGATTCTTGCCGGGTGGAGAGAAGCCCAATGTGGACGTCAGGGGTAATGATTTCGAGGTGATACCGTTTGGGGCGGGGCGGAGAATATGCGCCGGGATGACCCTTGGGCTGCGGATGGTATCTCTAATGACTGCGACCCTGGTCCACGGTTTTGATTGGACCTTGGCTAATGGGCTCACCCCTGATAAATTGATCATGGACGAGGCTTATGGGCTCACACTACAAAGAGCCGCACCATTAATGGTGCACCCACGTAATAGGCTAGCCCCTCATGCATACAATGCGTCATCACCTTGAATTCTTGAGAGAGTTTTGAGTTGTATGATGCTTTATGAAAAATGTGTTGTCTTTGGTAATTCTCGATATGTCGTTTATGAGCAGAAGTGTTTTTTTATATTTTACGTCTGATGATCTGCTTTTCGTGTCCGTCTTTAAAATAATAAAATCACGTACATTATTCACATGATAATTTGATTAATTGGATTGAAATGATCATTTGTTTGTTCTCTATTCGATGAAATTGAGATTATCTAAAGCACACATAATTCAAGTCATTAGTTTTTTTTAATTTACTTATTCTCTTGAACTTTAAAGCTAATTTATGCATTTAATCAAATTTAAAAGTTTTAAGTTGAAGATCACATAAGACACTGACGAGTTAATATCGTTGTAGTCAAGTTTGAATATCGCTATGTACAATTAATGACATAAGAACATCGCTTAAAAAATATAAAATACTTAAACGGATAAATGATCAAAACAATTAAGGATGAATGCTTTTTCCTTTTTTTAATTGGGAAAAAGTAGTTGATTATTCCTTCCAAAAAAGAAAGTGGTTGAGTATCGTTATCAAAATAACAATGATGGAATAAAAAAGGGATTAGTTAGTAATTTCGCAACGGTAGTGTAATATTTCGGGGGTTAGGAAGACTTACAAAGGCATTTTAGCTCATTTGATTACTGTTGTGTGATTCATCACCAATGCCAGGAGTCCAACCTAAAATATGTTATATAAAATACGAGCTTGAAATTTATCTCTAACTACCGGATCATCTCATAGTGGTTATAATGATTGAATAATTGAACGGTTTTTTTTTTTTTTTTTTGTGGGACGATAACTACCAAAACGCTGTCGTAGTGAGAGAACTACCAAAATCCGAGTGCTATCTTCTCTGCAACGACTACGAGCACAAACGACGAACTGTCTCTCTGAAATTCCGATCTTTGTTTCATCTGAAAATGCGAGCTCTCCAATTCGAATCTGAGCCGTCCATTTCAGGGTTTTGTCTCTGAATCCAATCTGCCTCCACAGCAATGGCGACGAACCTTCGAGAACACTTCAACACGTCGGTCAACTCGCCGATCCCGAGCCACCCAGCTACAATCGGCGGTCAAGATCAGAGATTTTCCGTCGTCATCTCGCCGGAGTGCCATGGATTCTGGTACGACGCCGTTCTGGTGGTTCCCGCAGTCGTTTTCGTCGTGTACTTGGCGTTTCAAGCCAAGAAGAACGTCATCAAGCTCTCCAATGGAAGATCATACATCATGATATCCTATTATGCCCTTCTCTGGGTCGCCAGCCTTCTCAACCTCGCCTGGTGCGCTCTTCAGGTTCGTGGGTTTTCAATTTTTCAAGGTTTTGGGTTGTGGGTTTTTTACAGTGCTGTGATATGATTGCGATTTGGTGTTCGATTTTTCGATGCAGGCATGGCAGTGCTCAGGTGGGAAGGAGGTTGCTTGGAATGTGTTGTCATTGTTTACGGGTTCAGCAATGCTGGGATTGGAGATTAGCTTGGTGGGTTTCTTGCTCCAGGAGGATTATGCAAGTGGGGTTGAAGCTTTAGCTCATACTTTCTTGGTCTCTGGGATTGTTGTTGGTGTAGACATACTGCTTAAGGTAATTGCTAATTGGCGTAATCGCCTTTTTGTTTGTAAATTGGTGAAGAATCCGTTGAATTGTGTATGCATATTGTGATTTCAGCTTATATTTCGTTTTAATTTCAGTTGGTCGAGATGGGATCAACCATTTCTATTTCATTTTTCCTTATGTATGCAATGCAATTGTTGTTACTTTGTAGTGTGTGATTGAATTTCGTTGCGAAATCCCATTTGCTACATTTGATTACTTCGTAGTGTGCTAGAATTTCGTTGCGAAGTCCCATTTGGTACATTTGATCATAAATGTTATTCCTGCAGAGGTAGAGTGAGCAACTGACTGATCGCCTGCTGCTTTGGTCATCGTCAAAGTCTAGTGTTTTTTCTTTCAGTTTGACATTGAAGACCTCTAGTTAATAATAGCTTTGATGATCATCTGTTCACAGTTTTTGTTTTTTGTCAAGTATTTTCTGTTGATTTGGTCGTTGAAGAAGTTTAGTGTTTGGTTGTTTTATAGTTTTAGAAGTATTTTTATGTCTCTGAGCACATTCCCGTTTGTATAAATGTATATAATGTCTTCCACTGCATACCTATGTACCAGTACTTGACCGTCTTTTGAATCTGTTGGTAGGGTTGTAATAAGCCTTGTTCATTTTCAGGTCATCTATGTATTCGGGTTTGGGGTACCGCTGTTCACTGTTGGCGTTGGAAGTACATATGGAGTGAAATGGGGCTTGTGGCTCATCCACAAATTATTGCTTACTGCAGTTTATGGCTTCATATTGTTTGTGCATTTCTCAAAGTGGAGAGAGAAGTTACCTCGTGAGTACATTTCCAATTCCGCTATCATTGCTTTTGCTGGAAATCTAACAAATCTAACTCGCGGTTATCTTCTAATCTTCTGCAGCCAGACCAGCATTCTACAACTACATCGTCATAATGTTTGTACTTAGTGCTGTGGCGTCGTTTGGTTGCGGGCTTGCTGGAATTGGAGCTGGTTTTGGAATCTGGTACTCAAAATTAAGCTCAAAACTAGAACTATGATACGTTCATTATCTCAAATGCTTGCAATTTATAAATTTGAATTTGTGCACATCCTGCAGGTTGTACAATTTGACGGATATATGCTACCACACTCTCTATCTTCCGTTTCTGTACGTGATTTTTCTAGCTGATTTTTTCCAGGTGATCATTCTTCACAGTCGTGGTTAAACAGCATTTTCGGGTTTTCCGATTTTTTCTCCAAGTGATACTCATGCAGTTGCTAATCTACATTGTGATGTTTACAGGAAGAAAGTTTTCTCCTGGAGAATGCGTATTACTCCGAGATGAAGGATGCTGGGTTCTTTGATGCCGATTGGGACTAGTCGGTCGGACCATCGGTAACTTGTGAACGTGTAAATTCAGCAGAAAGAAGGCTGGACCTTTTGTATACTTTGTAAATAAGTTGAACAGATAAATGTTGGAGTTTGTGAGTGAAAGTAGATAGAGAGGTAATTTCACATGCCATTTTGTTCTATTAAAAACAATAAATATGTCCAGGTAAGATAATGCAGCGTTGATGTGATTATGCAACTGTTCCCTCAGACTACTCTCGACGGGAAATGGTTCATATAAGAACTGCAATTCATTAAGTCACGACTTCTCTTTTTGGGTTCATGAACAAGAACGACAGCTTTCCCATGCTGATCAAATTGTGGCCGGCCTGCACGACCCATCATTTGCAAGATATCTATGATTTGGAAAATCAACATATCTTTTTGCTTTCCCATCAGAATATTCGCTTCCCTGCAAAAGAATTAATGGTATTGTACAAATGAACGATTTCTGAAGAACAGGTGATGCAATTGATACCTGCAAAAAAATTTAATTCTAGGAAACAAATGTAAAAGCCTACCACACAAACCAAATGAGCTGGAAGGTTTACACCCCATGCCAATGTGCTTGTACAAACCAATACCTATAATTTTATGGACAATTGCCTCAAAAAGTGAGGTACCAAAAGATGAAATTAGGGATCGGAGACATCTTGGTGAGATGTTTGAACAACATGAAAAGAGTAAAGGGCATCTCACTAATTTGAGAACTTGGGTTGGGTTGAAAAGTAGATTGACAAAAAATCAGACAATTGACAAAGAATTTCAAATGCAAATCAATAAAGAGACAAATCATTGGAAACAAGTGATGCTTAGAATTATTGTTGTTGTGAAATGTTTTACCATACGTAATTTAACATTTCGTAGAACAAACTGAAGGACCTTTTGAAGACTAATGGCAACTTCTTAGGTTTACTTGAAATGATCGCGGAGTTTGATCCAATAATGCAAAAGCATTTTTGACTCATTAAGAATAAAGAGATTCATCATCACTATTTGAGTCATAAAATCCAAAATGAGTTGATAGTTACTTTAGCTTCAAAAGTCAAAACCGCAATCATTAAAAAAAATTAAAAGAAGCCAAATTTTTTCTATCATTCTTGATTGTACTCTTGATGCAAGTTATGTAGAACAGATGACTTTAATTTTGAGATGTGTTGACTTGTCAAGTAGTTCAATAAATATAAGGGAGTATTTCATGGAGTTTTTAAGTGTGGAAGATACATCAGGATAAGGACTTTTTAATGAGTTGCAAGATGTCCTAAAGTCTCTTGATCTTGATATTGATAATGTGAGGGGACAAGGTTATGATAATGGATCTAACATGAGAGGGAAACACCAAGGTGTTCAGAAAAGATTGCTAGATAAAAGCCCAGAGCCCTTTTACGTCATGGGATTCTCATTGTCTTAATTTAATAGGTGATATGACAAGTTCATGTCTTAAAGCAAAATCTTTTTGGAGCATGCAATGCATAGATACGGTGTTTCCAACTCTACAAAGCGTTGTAATATTTTGCTTGAACTAGGGAGAGGAACTTTGAAGTCATTGTCAACTACTCGATGGGAAAGTTACATTGAAAGTTTTAAAGCAATTAAATCCCAAGTAGCCCGGGGTTAGAAATGCTTTGTTTAAGTTGGTGGAAATTATTGAGAATCTCCAATTGAGTAGGAATGCATGATGCTTAGCATAAGGAGAACTTCAATTTGATTTTGTATTAAGTTTGGTTATTTGATATGACATTTGGGTTGAAGATTAACATGGTGAGCACAAAATTACAATCTGAAGACATGTGTCTCGATATCGTTGTGTAAAGGCATTGGAAGCATTTGTTACGTTTTTCGAAAACTACAGAGAAACTGACTTCGCTTCTGTCATGAGTGATGCTAAGAAATTGCACTTGATTTGGAAATTGACCCTATTTTTTAAACTGAACGTCATAGACCTAGAAAAAGACATCATGATGAAGTTGATGGTAGTGAGGGGGAACAACAGTCTGCTGAAGAATCATTTAGAACATATTATTTTCTTGTTATAGTGGATATTGCTCTTTCTTTACTGAAACACAGGTTTGAACAGTTAAAGACTTTTGAATCTATTTTTGGCTTCTTGTTTGATGCACCGAAGTTAATTTCATTGGATGATCAAGAGTTAAAAGAAAATTGTATGAATCTTGAAGCACATTTGAAACATGGAAATACCATGGAAGTAC